ATCTCGGACACTGGAGGAGGTTGTCACAGTGGAGGAGGTTGTCAGCGAGTATGAGGACGATTTGCCAGCGGGACCTCGTCGCTCCCCTCACCCTCTTCCAGAATGAAGACCGGGGGCTTTGGATTTTTAGGGGAAGTTCCCTCGGTCGCAGGAACCGCCCTTTTTGGAACAGGTGCCTCCTCGATAGAAGGAGGCACAACTGGTGTACCGGCCCCAGAAACAGGCCGCGTTTGAACTGTCCCTGCGGCCGGAGCTAGCTGTTTCTCGACCAAGGGTTGGCCGACGGCAGGAGAAGGGGAAACCCTGGGAGTCGTCGCCCCTGAAGTTTGACTGGAGATGACGTGGATCTCCCGTGCGCCCTTCTTTGCCAGCTTTTTTACCCGCTTGGCAGGCGGTGGAGGTTCGACACCCGGCTCGGCCTCTTGGCGAGGCCGTTTGGTCAGCACGGCCCGACCAGCAGTTTTATCCTTCTCAGCCACGACCGATTTTTTCTTGGTCGTAGCCGCGGCAACTGCCTCCACTTTTCTCAGTGGCTGACTACCTGAGAAGAAAAAAACAAATCAGTAAGGCAAATCAATATGCAAAGTTGAAGAAAAAGAAGGGAAATGAACAGTTACCTTGAGTTTGGGGGGCCGAGGCCTTCTTAGGTCGGTCACCGAAGAGTTTGTTCAGCACATCTTCGACCGGAGCACCAAAGAACTCCTAGGTGTAATCTTCCCACCAATCACCGAATGTGTCAGTGCAAAGGGTTTCTAGGGTGGCCGGTCGAATGCGGAATTTCTGGCAATGCTCTTGGAACTCCCTCGCGGCGGTTTTGCACTCATTTTCCGAGGAATGGGGTTCACGTCCACGGCTTAGGACTGTCCGGGAGGAGAGAAGGGGGACCGGGCAGCCTTGGAGATAGCCGAGCTGTCGAGCAAGGAAGTTAGGATGGTACACTTCCCAACCCGCTCGTTTCCCATCGCAGCCGAAAGGAAGGTCGCGAGTGAGCACAAACGACCCCCAGGACTGACGAAGGTCAGCATCTTCCCCCGCGCCCCACATGGATGTGGGTAGTCTGATGGAGGAGGGATAGTCTCGACGACGACATATCAGGAATTCGTCGTTGGAGAGGTCATCAAGAGCGAAGAGGTACCTAAATACCTCTTCGGCTTGGTGAGGAGGTGTCGGTCGGGAGGCTAGCTGAGGTCCAAGCGCCCCCGTTGGCGAGAAGTCGGCTATGGCCGGCCGAAGGGAGGCGAAGTAAACTTGTACCTAGAGTTAGAAGACCCAGAGGGGACCATTCTGGTGTGGGTCGATCTTGTGAAGGGTTGCCTCGGCCAAGCAGCGGAAGAGATAGGCGAGAATGTTGGAGCTCAGTGACAGGACGTGACCACTAGCCAGGGCCTCGGCTACCGGCATGTTCTCGACCAAGCATTTGTTCGACTTGGTACAATAAATGTACTTGTTGTACCAATAGAAGAGGAAAGTTTCATGTTCTCCTTCTAGCAGGTCCTCCTCTCCTTGGCCGGCGAAATGGAGATAGAGGGTGTTATAATTGAAGAAGTTCTTGTGGAACTTCTGAATGTCTTCCTTCGACGGGATTTGACCTTCACGGTTCAACGTCTCGAAAGCCCGTCGGTCAAAAAGCATCTTCAGGTCAATATTCGACGGGTACCCAGAGAAGGCCGCGTCGATAGGGATCCCGGTTGCTGAAGTGCCCAAAATGGCGGTGACATCAAGAATGGTGGGGCCGATGGGACCAAGAGGAAGAACCATGGTGTTGGTGGCTGAGCACCAGAAGCACAAGGCGGCTAGGAGAAGCTCCTTGTCGGGAACGACATCCATTGACGAGAGGAGGATGGCGTGGTAGAGGCCGAGGGCCTTCCATTGCTCGCCGAAGAGCCTTTCCATTCGAACAACCCAGGCTGCCCAGGTTGTGGTCGTCGAGGGCCAGGAACCTTGAGGTTTCGCCGCATCCCATCTCGACCATTCGAACCCTTGGAGCAAGGGTGTTAGGCAGTGCTCCTGGAGGAGGCCAGTAATGGTTGACGGAACTGCCGCCTTGAAAAGAGGGCCCAAGATTTGGTGGGGAGTGCTCATGTCACTTTCAAACCGTATGGTTTTGATCGAGCTCTGATCAAGAATTTTCTGATGCTGTTCACATTCCCTGGAAAGTTTAGAGATGAAGGACGCCATTATAGGAAGGAAGCACGGCGTAAGAAGTTTTCTGGGTTGGGGGATTTGAAGACGAAGACCTGGGAAAGAGAAATGTGCTGAAGAATAAGGGCGAGAAATTTCGGAGTGATTTTGGAAGCGTAAAGTATGAATGAGGGATTTCCGTATTTATAGGATTTTGGCAGGAAGAGCAATCGTTTGAAATTCAAAACAAAGGGCAAAATCGACCGAATGAATTGCTGATCATGATAAATGTTCAGGAAATGCGGTTGAGAAGACCGAAGGTCTCAGGTTTTGGGGGCGCACGATTGCGTGTGACGGCGAAATTAATGGCGGAAGACGTTTCGACGCCTGCACGATGACAAGTGACTCACGGATTGAGGTAGTGGCTCGCGGATTGAGGTAGTGGTTAAGTTCAGCCATAAGATCATGATGGCAGGACGGTTCAGGCAGCCGCACGCCTTAGACGTCATTATTGGGGTTTTGCCGTGTTGGAGGACGCCACGTGGCGAGTTTGGTTAGCAGGATCAAGATCGTGCAATCATGTTCAATAAACGCGCCTTGGAACTCGGGCACTAGGGTTCTGAGTGGTAGATTCGCTTCTTCAAGGCCGAAACTCGGCCGAAGAATTCAGGCCGAGGACCTCAGAAGCGAGGGGGCAATGTTTGGGCCCAAAATAATAGTTTGGGCCAAAGGTAGGATCATCCTCGGCCCGGGAGGCCGTGCGGCGAGAGGGCCATGGATCGTTCAACCCGTGGGCTTCCAAGCCTAGGTCGGATAGATCATAACGCAAGTCGAGTCCTAGTACAATGAGGAGTCTCGGCGGGATCAGTAACCCAGAAAGCGAATCCGGCTCAGTTAAGGACTAGGTTCACAATCCTAGTGAAGATAGGACTGGTCGAGGTGGTGTTGATCCGGAAAGGAAGACCTAGTCCGAGTAGGATTTTAACTCGGATTCAAGATACAGCGCTATAAATAGGGGAAGCTGTGCGTCAGAGAGAGCCCCCTGCAAATCAATACAAAATTGCCCTGCGCAAACTCTCAACAACTTGAGATCTTTTTCCTTTTTCTTTTTCGCTGACACATCTTCCGTTGGCATCAACAGCACTGTGGAAGCAACCGGTGATACCTTAAGTCGGCATAGATAGCTCTGTCACCGTAGAATTAGTCGTTCTCGCAGTATCTTTCGTTGGCATCAACAGCACTGCGGCGAGAGCGGTTGATTACCTATCCAAGTCTCGGTCGAGAAGGGTTTCTAAATCCTTATTGGTCGAGGTCATCTTATTAGCCTTCTCGGCGAAGTGAGGTGTTACAGTTATTACATTCGGCACATTGAAAGCCGAATTTGATATTGACCTTCGTAAGAATAGTAACCTTGTCTTCAGGTTCGAGAGCCTAAAAGGCCGAGACGTGTTCCTTTCTCGGCTGCAATCGCAAGACGCAGAAGTCAGCCGCGCACCCAACGCAACATCAACAAAATTTACTCCTCGGCCGACGAGTTGGCACGCCCCGCAATCACCGAAGGACGTAGTTAGCCTTTAGATTACTCGGCCTATGCGCCACGTAGGCTTTGTAGTTTCTAGGGTCAACAATATTATAATACAGTATGAGCACCAGCCTGTAAGAAACCATAGTCAGAAAATTAACCAACATAAACATGCATTCCAACATACTTATATACATCTTTGTAAGAACCCCAGAGACAAAATCAGCAAAACAGAAGAAAAAATGACTTACACTTTTAAGGCCTACTGCAAGTCTGGGACTTCCCCTTTGTTTATCCTCATTTTCTCATCCAAAACCAAATTTTAGAAAACAAACAGTCTGTAAAATTCAAATTCAAACTCAGCACAAACAGTCTGTAAACACCCTCAATCCCCTAAAATCCCACCATATTTTCAGGTCGACTCTACAAATTCAAAAACCCTCCACATGCAATCCCTAAAACAGATTAAATTGGTTCAAAAGAACCGGTTCTCACAACCACTTCCAAAATCAGCAAAAACAAAATCCAGAAATTGAGAGTTGTTCATCAAAACATTAACTCCCAAAATTTCAAATTATTCTGAGCCGACAAACTTTCCAGAACACTAAGAATCACAGATCGGAGGTACTTACGCGTCATAGGATTTAAGCAAACCCGAATTGAACCATCAAGGAGAGAGCAGCGGAGAGGAATTTTCGAGAGAGAGAGGGGGGGCTTTTAGAGAGGAACCGAAAACACCAATCGAGGGCTTTTTTTTGGTCGGTTGGTCGTCGTCGCCAGCTGAGTCGAGGAGAAGAGTGAGAAGGGAGAACGAAGAAACAGAAAATATAAAATAAATACAGTACATATATGATGGGTATATCAGGACATAATAGGAATTAGAGCAAAACTGGGAGGGTAATATCCGTAGAAAACTGGGAGAAAATTTCTCTTTCAAGATTCTCTTTTTTTTTTTTTTTTACCGAGCACTACAAATTAAGCAGCAGTTCATGCCTTGGCAAAAGTAGAAACCAATGGAAGTGAGACTTTGTCAAAACTCTCTGGTTAATAATCAAAATATCCTTTAAACTTTTCTTTCTAAATATTACTCGTAAGCGATCGCATCGATCAGACCCTTGTGTGGTCAAAAGATTAATTAAGAATTGACAAGGTTCTCCTCCCATTTGAAAAATCTCCTCCATTCCTTGTAAGATGTGCGGCATGACGGAGCTCTATTATTTTTTGTCGTTACAGTTGCCATCTCATTTTTGGTAAAATATTGAATAAAGTTTTTCTTCTATGTGGTCGCATTTCTTCTCTTTTATGCATTTGTGCAAATTCAATTTCGTTAATTAACCTGTTTTGCTCTCTGTCTTAGAACAATGATGGAGCATTCACGTACCAACCGTAAGCTGGTTTTGTTCAAATTCCTGCATGGGTTCATTCTTTTATGCATGAGCACATGCCTCGAATCTACAACACTTCGCAGCCTTACTCTCCTTGGAAATGAATCTGATCGCTTGGCACTGCTAGACTTCAAGAAAAGAATAACAGTTGATCCTTTCAATGTCATGAGCTCGTGGAATCATTCCATCCATTTCTGCAATTGGGTTGGAGTTTCATGCCACCATTCCACCAAAAGAGTCTTGATGTTGAACCTGAAATCAAAAAAGTTGGTAGGCTCCATTTCACCTTCAGTTGGAAATCTTACTTATCTTACTGGAATCAATTTGAGAGACAACAACTTTCATGGGGAAATTCCTCCAGAAATGGGTCGTCTACAAAGCCTACAATATCTCAACCTCTCTCATAATTCCTTTGGTGGGAAAATTCCAACTAATTTGTCGCAATGCATACAACTAAAATTGCTTAATCTGCAAGCCAATCGGATGATGGAGTCCATTCCAAACCAACTCAGTTCATTGTTGAATTTAAAATATCTACGGCTTGATGGTAACAATCTCACTGGAACTATCCCACCTTGGATAGGAAACTTTTCCTTGTTGAGTAGTCTAATACTTGGCAAGAACAATTTTCAAGGAAGCATACCCAATGAGCTTGGGCATATAGCAGGCTTGGAGGTGTTCGTAGTTGAGAAGAATGATCTATCTGGTATGATCCCATCCCCAATCTATAATATTTCTTCCATATCCACTTTTAGTGTTGCTGTCAACCAGTTGAATGGAGAGCTACCAACAAATCTCGGCACTATGCTTCCTAATCTCGTAGACCTTTACTGCGATGTGAACAAATTCACAGGAAATATTCCCATATCATTGTCAAATGCTTCAAGACTTCAGATGCTTGAACTTTCTCAAAATGGTTTTCTCTGGGACAGTCCCTGGTGAGAGTCTAGGAAACTTGCATAGCTTAGTTTGGCTAAACTTTTATGGCAATCAGTTAGGAAATAGAAAAGTTGGTGACCTGAATTTTCTTAGTTTCTTGGCTAACTGCACTAGTTTGGAGCATTTGAGTCTTTTCGATAATAATTTTGGAGGAGAAATTCCGGGATCCATAGCCAACCTTTCGACCCAACTTAATGTTCTTAGTCTGGGGGGAAAATTTTATACATGGAAACCTTCCTAAGGGAACTGGAAACCTTATAAACTTGACCGCTTTAGTATTAGAATATAACCAGTTGAGTGGCAGTGTCCCGCATGAAATTGGGAAGCTAGATAAGTTAGTGGAACTGTATTTGGATTTTAACCAATTTTCTGGTTCAATCCCGTCATCCTTTGGTAATATGACTTCATTGTTATACTTGTACATGGACTCAAACAGGTTTGAGGGCAGTATACTTCCAAGTCTTGGAAACTGCCAATACCTATTAGATCTTAACCTTTCCAGTAACAACCTTACGGGCACCATACCTAAAATGCTTATGGAGCTTTCAACCCTTTCAAGTTCTCTAGACCTGTCTGACAATTATTTGACTGGTCCGATGCCCCTTGAGGTGGGTGATTTAGTGCATCTCACGGAGCTAAATGTATTAAGAAACCATTTATTAGGTGAAATCCCGAGCACCCTCGGCAGTTGTACTAGTTTGCAGCGCTTGTGTTTGCAAGGTAATAAGTTTGAAGGAACAATTCCTCAATCTCTTCAGAATTTGAAAGGCTTGGAAAAACTTGATATTTCAAGCAACAACTTGTCTGGGCCGATTCCTGAATTCATAGGCAAGCTTGGTGCTCTCAAGTATCTCAATCTTTCGTATAATGATTTTGAGGGCGAGCTGCCAAAAGATGGTATTTTTGCAAATGCTAGTGGTGTTTTTGTTCTTGGAAATCATAGGCTCTGTGGTGGCATCCCACAATTACATCTACCTTCATGCCCCCCAAAAAAACACCATTCATCTCGCGGACTACATTCCCCAAAAGTAGTCATCCCTATAACCTGTGTATTTGGAATCATAATTGCTCTATCATGCTTCTGTGGTGCTTATTCAATGCTGAAAAAGTCAAGAGATAGACGTGCAACTTCACGTTCTTATAAGGATTGGAAATCAGGTGTCTCGTACTCACAACTAGTTCAATCAACTAACGGGTTCTCTGCGGATAATCTTATTGGTTCAGGAAGTTTTGGTTCTGTTTATAAAGGGGTAATTCCTAGTGATGGAACAATAGTTGCTATTAAGGTATTAAACCTTCAACAACAAGGAGCTTCCAAGAGTTTCATAGATGAATGCAAAGCTTTAAGGAGTATAAGGCATCGTAATCTTCTCAAGATCATAACTGCATGCTCAAGCTTTGATAATCAGGGCAAGGACTTCAAAAGTCTAGTTTTCGAGTTCATGGCAAATGGAAGTCTAGACTCAATGTTGTATCCAAGATGTGAGGAGGAATCTCCAAGCAAAAGAATGAGTTTTATGCAAAGATTGAACATCGCCATTGATGTTGCTTCTGCGTTAGATTATCTCCACCACCATTGTGAAACGGCCATTGTTCATTGTGATCTAAAGCCGAGCAACGTACTTCTTGATGAAGATATGGTAGCCCATGTTGGGGATTTTGGTTTAGCAAGGTTCCTCTTTGAAAAATCAAATGATCCCACCTTCAGTCAAACAATGTCATCTCAGCTAAAGGGTTCTATAGGCTACATTCCTCCAGGTATGAGTTTCTGTCATTCTAACTTCCTTTTTATGTTCTTAGTAAATTATTACAAAAACCAACTGATTAATCTCTATTTATGAAAAATACATTACTGCCTCTTTTTTTCTTGAAAATAAGTAACATATAAATCTAAAGAAGATATTGTTCTAATAGTCAATTGCATACAACATATTGTATGTATGTCTTGGCAGAATATGGCACAGGAGGCCAAGTTTCCATACTTGGAGATGTTTACAGCTATGGGATACTATTGTTGGAAATGTTCATAGGAAAAAGACCTACCGATGACATGTTCAAAGACGGTCTAAGCATTTACCAATTCGTAGCCATGTCTTTGCCTGACCATGTTATGGACGTCGTTGACCATTCAATTATCCTCGACCTCGAAGCAGATGGTAATGTCAACAATGACATAGTGCGAGAACGAACTCCATCCAGACGTAACGATCGTGGCCCAGTGAAAGAAAAAAAATTAAAGGAATGTTTGGTTTTAGTAATGCAGATAGGACTCTCTTGCTGTGCAATGTCACCAAAGGAGCGGATGCTAATGGACTCGGTTGTTAGAAAAATGAGCACAATCAAAGACTCGTACCTCAAAGTTTAAGAAGACTTGAGAAGGACAAAGCATGTTGCTCAAAGGAGAAAGGACATGATCATCCATCAATAATATTTTCCACTCTCTACTCACCAAAATTTTCTTTCTGTTTTTGTTTTCTTTCTCTTGCTATCGCGTTTAATTTTGTCTTGTTGATGTTTGCGGTGTATTTTACTTATATGACTTAGAGCTTTCGAATTTTTATTTGTATGGTACTTTTTAGAATTTTATTGATTAGTGGTTTTTTGTTGGATAAAATTTTTTTCTTATGTTCTTTGTTGATCAATGGCTAACACTGCAAAAAGTAGTCACAAACTGCTATCAGGTTTGATAGAATTTGCAAACGGTGCAAGGAGTGTGAGAGAGAATGTGGATAGTAAGAACATTGCTAGTTACATTTTTCTTCTTTAATCTCGGTATTTATTGTTATCGTTGCTCTAAAAGTGTTATTTTGCCAAATTCATAAGTAAAAACATAAAATAGATTTTCACTTGTAAAGGAGAGAAGCAGAAAGTTGCATGATGGTGAGAGCTTAACATTAAGGTTTAGTGCAAAAGGTCTGGAACGAAAGAGACTCTCCAGTTAGGAGCATTTTTTTGTTGTAGTTGAAGTTCTAGGTTCAATTTCCAACTCCATAAAATCGCTTGTATAAAACAAAACATTAAATTTAATATGAAAATTGCTAACATTTCATACAATATGTTTTATTAGAAAAGAATATAATGATTATTTCTGAAGTGTCAATAACAATTCTCAAAATATGTAGTATTGTCACTTAACTTCATAGTTAATAAATTTGCGTATAATATCCTTATTATATATGTATGTACATATTTTAACAAGTTTTATTTTCCGTACACGTATCAATGATTCGTTAAATTGTACGCTTTTTAAAGCTCCAACATACGATACCTATTTTTCACGTTTAAAACACGTTATTTTTACACTTTTTTCAATAATACATATAAAATTCACGCATTTTACCTATATTTTTAGCATATTATTGATTAAATAAATATTAAAAATTTTAAAAAAATAGCCCAAATTTGCGAAGTATTATTTTAATAAAGTTATACACTTCCGTATTTTTCACATGAGAACTGTTAAACCCACCCCGTTGTCTTATTTCACCACCCACGTTATATTTACACCCACTATAAAAAGTTAAAAAATTAAAATGTTATTTTCCCACCCACTATTATTCCTAAAATAGCCCTATATATAATTAGAGATAAATTTCTTTAAAAAAAAAGAAAATAAACAAACCTTCTAAAAATAGGAAAAAAAAAAGAAAAAAAACCATGTTTCCTTTCCAAATTCCAATTTGAGTGTCCTTTTCGAGATGCATACCAATTTGAGTGTCCTTTCCAAATTTTCCCTAACCTAATTAAAACAATTCCAACGAATTCTAGGAATTCTCATAGGAAAACATGAAACAAATTGTACCCTAACCTAATGCAAATTCAAATAAAAAGTCACAAAGCTATGCTTCAATTATTCATGTTGACAAATCAAGATGGTCCACATAAAATTATCTTTTACATGTTTGACGGAAACATAGTCATCTACTTGTTCCATAGAAATGTCATCTTCTAAATTCATTCTTTTTGCTTTCTCTGAATGATTTTGCTTTCTCTGAATGAAAGGGGATGAAAATGATGAGTTAGGGTTTATGAGAGACAAATTTTCTAAACTTTTCTTTTCTTTTCTTTTTTTATAAAAAAAAAATTAATGCAAAAAGGAGTAAATAAGGTCCCTATTAGTCATTTTACAAATGGATAAATTTGTAATTAAAAAATTCATAAAAAGGTGGGTGGGGAAATAAGACACCGGGGTGGGAATATCACCACTCTTTTCACATACTACGCATTTTACTAACTATGCTTAGCTTTTGATCTTCTTTCTATTTTTACCACTTTCATTGTAGTTTTTGAGTCCTATAAAAACGTGGCAATTTATCCTCCCACCATAAAAATAAAAAATTATAAGATTAATGAAAAATGCCTCACGAACTTATTTTTATCCAAAAATATCTAATGAACTTTTTCTAATCATAAAGACAATTAAAAATTGTATGAAGAAATAGTTGTTGATGACCCTAAACTATAACTTATTTACAATAAGGCTACCGCACCCAAACTAAACTAATTGATGATACTATCATCACGCTCTCTTATTTTTGTCATTATCACTTATTGTAAATTATATAAAGCCACTTTCATAAAAGTGAAGTTATAAAAATAAACACTTTTTAATTTTCACACGAGTGTTAGTTGTTTTCGTTTGATTTATTAATCTGAGTATCAAAATTAAAAAGAGTGAGAAGTCAGGTGAAAATCATCTCTACCCAATAATAAATAAGAAAAAAAATTGAAATTGTTGTGAATTTTTAATTGAAACTTATAAGAAAACAAAACATTAACCATATCCGATTCTCTCTGTCAGCCAATCCCCCATTGCGCCAATCCCCCCATTTGTGCTCTCATCTCTCATACAGTTGCAGCCCTTCATCCGAGTCCTCTCCAGCTATATTCGGTAAGCATTGGTCCTTTAGCTACTCGTTCTTCCTCTCTAGCTTTCGCGTATGTAGAAACTGCTGCTTAATTTTGAATTTTTTTTCCATCTGAAATTCCTTTAAATTTCTAGCCGAATGCGCATTCAATTACCAGTTTTAGGGTTCTTTTTCTGTTCAATTCATGAATCGTTTCATCTATTTACACAGCCTTTTTAAATCCCGCAATTTGTTTTCTGTGATGGGAATTAGGCAATATCGCAAGCGCCCAGAAGTTGAAAGAGTAACTAGAAATGAAAATTGGAAAATTTTGGATTTTTGTGGGTTTTTTGTGTTTTTGTACTTATGGGTCAATGAACTGCTTTTCATTAATGAACTGCTTTTCATTGATGATGAAGTTGCACATTTTCTTGAATTTACATTCTTTGTTAGTCCTTACTCTCATGAATTGGTGTTAAAAGAGTTTGCAAATATTCGTAGCTGATTGATTTGGCGTCAGTTTCGTGATTTGTGAATATAAGCACCTTGCAAGTTGGCAAGAAATTGTTGAACTTATGCAGATTTGCAAATTGGATTAGTCTTGAAATTTTGAATTGTAGAAGATGCAGAGCATATTCTGAGGGGCTTAATTTGGTAGTTTTTCATGTTTTCCTTTATGTTTTGTGTAGTCTTTATTTATAGGATTAGGATGTATTTAGTAGGAATAGGATTAAATTTTAATTTGGTAGTTCCTAGTAGGATAAGGATTTCTTAGAAAAAAAAAGGATTGGGAATTCTAGGCTGCTGTCCTCTAGTATAAATAGGCTATGAATGTATTCAGATTTTATCAATATATTCTCAGAATCTGAGTTTTAGCTTTGAAGAAGATGAAGCATAGAAAAGCAGTAGGCCCAGACGATATACCAATTGAAGTGTGGAAAGTTTTGGGAGAGACAGGTATAACATGGCTCACTGACCTTTTCAATAGGATTTTGAAAACGAAGAAGATGCCAAAGGAGTGGCGAACGAGCACTTTGGTGCCTATCTACAAGAATAAGGGCGACGTACAAAATTGCATGAACTATAGGGGTATTAAGCTAATGAGTCATACAATGAAGCTCTGGGAGAGAGTCATTGAGCATAGATTGAGGCAAGAGACACAGGTTTCGGACAACCAATTCGGGTTCATGCCAGGGCGCTCAACCATGGAGGCAATCTATCTCTTACGAAGATTGATGGAAAGATATAGAGATGGGAAAAAGGATTTACACATGGTCTTTATAGATTTGGAAAAAGCGTATGATAGGGTCCCAAGAGACATTCTTTGGAGGATTTTAGAGAAGAAAGGAGTACGAGTAGCATATATCCAAGCTATAAAGGATATGTATGAAGGAGCAAAGACTGCCGTAAGAACTCATGAAGGACAAACCGAAAGCTTTCCCATAACTGTTAGGATTACATCAAGGCTCATCCTTAAGTCCTTACCTTTTTGTGTTGGTAATGGATGAGTTAACAGGACATATTCAAGATGATATTCCTTGGTGTATGCTTTTCGCAGACGATATAGTGTTGATAGATGAAACTCAGGAAGGGGTAAATGCAAAGCTTAACCTTTGGAAAGAAGTGTTGGAATCTAAAGGTCTTCGCCTAAGCCGATCAAAGACAGAATATATGGAGTGCAAGTTCAGTGCAAATGAAGGCCAAAACGAGTTAGGGGTGAGGATCGGAGATCAATAAATACCAAAGAGCGACCGTTTTCGTTACCTAGGATCTATCTTGCAAAAGAACGGAGAATTAGATGGAGATCTCAATCATAGAATACAAGCTGGATGGATGAAGTGGAAGAGTGCATCCGGCGTGTTGTGTGACCGTCGTATGCCATTAAAGCTCAAGGGAAAATTTTATAGGACGGCAATAAGGTCGGCGATGCTGTATGGCACAGAATGTTGGGCGGTGAAGCATCAACACGTACACAAAATGGGTGTAGCGGAGATGAGGATGCTTCGTTGGATTTGTGGGCACACGAGAAAGGATAAGATTAGGAATGAGGATATCCGGGGTAAAGTAGGAGTATCCGAAATTGAAGGAAAGATGAGAGAAAATCGGTTACGGTGGTTTGGACATATGCAAAGAAGGCCTACTGACGCTCCGATTAGAAGATGCGACTATGGGACAGAGGTTCAGGGCCGAAGAGGTAGAGGAAGACCTAGGAAAACTTTGGAAGAGACTCTAACAAAAGACTTAGAGTACTTGGATCTAACGAAGGACATGACACAGGACCGAGCACAATGGCGTTCTAAGATTCATATAGCCGATCCCACTCAGTGACTTGGATTTTTCAAGTCTCCAACCGAGAAGTTTTCCTCACTCGAGAAATTAAGGGAACACTACCTCAACCTCATACTCCACTCACAAAGCTTCAACATACAAGCTTCAACAAAAGAAAATTCAAAGAACTTACCGAAGAAGGCTTTGGTGTATTTAACACAATACGTTGAAATGAAGGAAAGCTTATTTATTGATATCCCCGATAAGCTACAAATATGTACATATACATGAGTCAAAATAAACAAACAAGAGGGAGCCTTCACAAAGGTTGCTTAGGAGAAGTCTCAGCAGTCGGTAGAGCCCCAGAAAGAGAAGGCACCGGAGGGGGATCATTCGGAGCCT